GCCAGTCATAGTCCAATCCCAGACCCAGGCCTGGGGTTGGGAACCAGCATGTACCAACCTTCAGCTTTAAGGTCCTCCTAAGAGCCACACGAACCCCAGGGCAGAGTTGGACTAGCTGAGTGTAACTCTGACTTCACAGCTGGATAGACAGCTGAAATAGAGTATGAAATTTCCAAGCAAGTATCAAAAAGGTTGCATGAAATTTCAGTGTCACTTCAAGAAGTTATCTTTTTGGTTCTCTCTCGCACGCGAGTTCTTCCAGTTGGCAAGGTGGACAGCTCAGAGACATAATTGTAATTCTCTCATGGTTTTTTTTTTCCAATTAGCCCTACATTCACCTTTTCTTCCAGTGAAAATCAAAACCCCTGCCTTCATGAGGTAGAAAATACTAGAGTCCCTACACAATAAGAATTAACGAATCAGAAAAACTTACCTATCCGACTTGAGATTTCTTATTTCTTTACTAACTTCCTACAACTCCAATATCTTCCTGTAATGCCAAGTGCTATGAGGTTCAGCCTAAAGAGATCCATGGCCCATGATTTTGTGAGAATGCTCCTTCCTTAAAATTACAATGAGTCAACTCGATGGTTCTTAAAAGAAAAAAAAAAGCACTGCAATCAATTGAGCAATGTTTGACATTAATACACCCGCACAATATTATGTGCATACATGTGCTTCTGTACACCATCTTTCTTTAACGATGTGTGGAAATTCTTAAGTTTCATTCAAAATCCTTGTAAGGATTTTTGAGCTTTGACATACCTAATTTTAGAATTTTCATTGTTCTCTGTGGACTCCATACATCAAGACTACGTGGGCAGAGGACTTGTTAAAATGCAGATTCCTGAGTCCCACCCCAGATTGGAAGATCTTAGAATCTCTTGAGATGGGCCACGAATCTTTTTTTTTTTTTAAGGTTTCTCAAAAGATACTTATGCACTCTAAAATATGAGAAGCCTAATTCTAGAACTGAGAGTTTTACTGGGATTTCTGTGCTGTAATGTTGTGCCTTTTTATATCTCTAAGGAATGATAAATGTATTGTGAATTCCATGAACTTTAGTTGGTCAGTAAAATATAATTAGAAATCCCTGTGGGTCATGCTCATTTGAATAGTAGCTATAAGCATTGTGTTAGTCTAGGTAGACTAGAGAAACAAATCCACAGAAACTCATACATGTGTGTGTGTGTGTGTGTGTGTGTGAGTTTTATATAAAGGGTAAAGTGTACATTAAGAAAGCATCCCAACCCAGTGCTGTCCAAACCCATAAGTCCAACATTAGCCCATATGTCCGTCACTGATCTAGGAAGTCCTTCTCAATCTCACAAAACACACGCAATGACGCCGACTGCAGGAGGAAAGCCAAATCAGTGAGCGTGTAAGCATCTCAGCACTGGCAGGGATCTCCACACGCTGCTCCAGCACCCAGGGCTGCATCGGGGTAGGTCCATGTGGCTTCTCCTCCCGGATGTCTTGCAGAAAGTGAACCTTGCCAGATGAAGCAGGGAACTGGCTAAGGCAGCTGCACCCTGGACCAACCATCAGAGAGCAAGAGACCCAAGAACTTGAAAGGCGAGGCTCACCAAGCCATTTATCTCACTGCCCTGACATAAACCTTAACTATGTCAGCATAGTTATATGGAAAAGAAGTCCTTCGGATTTAAAACGTTTCTCACTATGTAGACCAAAAATTAATGCGTAGGGCAGGGAAACTACCTTGTAACAAACTTTTGTGATTATAACAAACCAAATCTATATGCTATAATGGGTACATTGCAAGAACCGCCTGATGAAATGTAAGCTCTGACTGCAATTAATCACCAGATGGTAAACTTTTGTGAAAACACACTCATTCCAGTGGTGAGATTTCTTTCAAGTGAACAACCTCACCTCTTGATACCCAGAATTTTATTTCCAATCCAAGACATGCCATCCCACCAACAATAAAATAGGAGCGGCTTACAAAAAGTCATGGCGTTTTGGAGCTAGAAAAGCCTTAGGGATTGTAGACTTCAACCCTTCCTTCCAAGGAGAAAACACCTAACAGGGCCGGAAGGAAAATTCCGGTGTCCTGATTGCCTCAACCAGACCACTGCCGTTGAGTCGGTTCTGACTATGGTGGCTCAGTAGGACAGCATAGAACTACTCCCTGGAGTTTCTGAGACCCCACAAGCCCCATAAGTTGACTCTGACTCATGAAAACGCTCTTACAGGACAGAGTGGAATTGCTCCTTAGGATTTCAAACGCTGTCAATTTCTACAGAAGCAGACCGTCTCAGAGAGGGATGGGTAAAAACTGCCCCGGATTGCAGGAGATCCCTCTCCCCTCAGATAGTCCCAAGCAGAGCGTTCAATAGTTCAT